AAAAATTCTTAATGTTATAGTGTATCTTGTGTGTAAATTGGTTTAATCCCATGAATGTGGGGTTAAAATTATCCCTATAAAATGGATTGATTTTCATACAACACATGATGAATCACAACTTAGAAGATAAACACTTTATACATATCTTACTATATTTCTATATTTTAGCAACTCGGTAAGAGGTTCGTTCACTTATCTCCCTGTGATCGTGCCCATAGAAGGAGAGCTACATGGATTTTATCTTGGAGTTGTGTAATGCCGAAAGAACCCGCACGAAGGGGAGGCAATACGACTTTAGGACAGCGTTTTCAACTGGACTACCAAAACTTGCATTTTTAACTCTCTTCTTATTTTATATTATTATTGATTTATGTTTATGTCAATTAATTGATTATGTTTATACTAATTGATAAATATCTACACACAAATCATCCAATTTTTCTAACAATCTAAAGTCGTGTTGTCGTGATTTGTGTGTAGTTTCTTCATTCCTCTATTAGCTAGAAATGAAGTTGGCATGAGCAATGTTTGCTTATGTCTAGGGAAAGATGCCTGATACTGACCTCCTATGATCATACTAACACAAGCTTCACTGACTGATTAAATTGCATAAACATCTTAAGCTTGAAATGGTTGTAGAGTTATGCAGGCACCGGTTTGTGTAGAATTGTTGCATTTCAGTATCTTATATGGACCATTAATATATCCATAGGCTTCTCTTCTGGACATTGAATTATTCCAGATGGAGGACAGGTGTATAACTCATCTACAGCTGGCAATTCTTCTTTGATGTGATTCTATGATTATTTCTAATTAAAGAAACTTGATGAACCACTTCGATGGTCAGATATTGCTTTTTTTTTTCCGATTGATATATGTTAAGTATGAATAATGTGTATACTCTATTTCTATGATATTCATCAAAATGTTAGGATAGTTGGTTTCTATTGATTGAAACACTATTCTAATTGTTCTCAACTATATAGGACTAAACATGACCTGTGCAACTGGAACCTGATCCTAAATGATAAGGCACTGAAACATTATTTGATTTATACTCCAGTTTTCTAATTATAGCTATAAATGAAAATTTTTGCATGGGACTGAATTGAATTGACTCTTGTGAACTCTCATTTTGCTATGCACATAAATTTATTAAAAGACGCGAAAAAAATAGAGAACGTTTCACTTTTTATCTTGCTCAAAAACATGTGGATAATAAGATAATTTTAAGGAGAAACATGCACTACCTCAATATGGTATGTTGGGTGATTGGGTTAACAATAGAAAGAAGTATCTAAGATTTATGAAAATATGCCGATTTAACGTTTTAAAAGATGTTGAATTTCATAATTAATCTCCATAGTTTTATTTATAGTTCAAGTGTAACTCCAGTGAATAATGGTGGTTTATTATCATTCAATTCAATTTAGACATGTAACTCATATTTTCATGATAAATAAAATATCTAACTTCTAATAAAAAGGGGAATGAGAATCTACTATTGATGCAATAGTAACTTAATTCAATTTTACTACGCATGATGTCATTTTTTATTTTCCATTTTGTTTATGTCAAACAAATGTCCTTCCACATATCATGCCACTAGCATTAAAAAAATAATTATGTCAAACAAATATTCTTCCACATATCATACCACTAGCATTAAAAAAAAAAATATATATATATATATATATATATATAAATTGCCATGAGCAAAAAAAAGCTCTTCACACGAGTTTTAAAAATAAAAATAAAGGTAAACTCTATGCATAGTGCGGAGAGATAGCAAATCATGTGCGGAGTAAAAAAGGAAGAAAAACTCTCCGTATAGTGCGAAGTAAAAAAAAAGTCTCTCCACACGGTGCTGAGAGATGACAAACACCATGGCAAAACTCTTCGCACAGTGCGGAGAGATGGTGCGGACAGTCTGCACAATCTGTACTGACATTGTCCTCACAAAATGCGGACTCTCCGTACAGTGTGGGGTAAAAAAAACAAAAACAAAAAATTTCCACAGTGCAGAGAGTTGGCAAACTCTCTATACAGTGCGATGTTAAAAACAAAAAAAACAAAAAAAAAACTCTCCGCACAGTGACTGTCACGTGCGTTGCACGAATTTTGCATTTCGTATTTTTATTAGTGTATGAATTTTAATTTTTTGGAAAGTTTTTGAAGCAATATGTAGAAATATTTCCATGATATAAGAAATATTTCCATGATATGTGATTAAACACATTCTTACTTCGGTAGATATACTAAATATAATCAATTATTTGTTTATAATTTATTGGTATGGAAAAATATTTTGAGAATGTGTTTAGTAAGAATTTGCACTATTGATGGAAGAAAATCATGAAAGTTTGGGGGTGTTAAAAATTTTCACCTTATATTTTATTATTCTTAATTGAAAATCTGACGTTTAAAAAGTATTAGAAATGAAATTGAAGACATGCAAGTAGAATACAAGAGTTGAATGGATGCACATGTCACTAGAAGTCAATTTTACATATTATGTATTTATCTTATTATACTTAACGTAATTTTGATATTCTGAAATGTTTTTACAAGATTTTGCAGATATACAAATATGTAAGCAAAGAATAAGAGTTGCACAAATTGATGGTACCAAATTTTTGTCCAAGAAGGACAAATAAATTGTAATCCAAGATGGACATACATAAATCATCGAGGGGGATGGGCTTAATCCCATGAGGGAGTATCTCTGGAAGTAACCCAATTTTTGTAATTGGAAATCCCGTGAGAAAGGTTCAATATAGTAGGAACAACCCGTACTCTGTGGCTTGTAATAGTACTATTTTATTTGCGCTCATCCATGTGGTGTTAGTGCTAATGATAATGTAATGTTAGGAAGGGTTTAACCCTAAATGAGTACTGAGATGTGAATTCTCATGAGGTGTAGGTCATACATATCTTTGGAGGACTCACTTATGTAAGAGTTGCGATGAGGCCGTAACTATGCGATTAGCTATTCCCTAGAAACTTTTACTGGAATCAAGATAAGAGCACATGGCTATTAACAGCGCTACCCGCTATGAACTGAGCCTAAATCGATACTGTGTGTGGAACAATTGATACTCGGTTAAATGGGCATAATTCAAGGCCTAGTCCATTATGGCTTCCTCAAATGAAAATTGTTATCACTAAGCGAGGTTCAAATCCAAAAAACACCTACACCTATTACACAGTATAACGTTGCCACTATATATATTATATATTTATCTATTTTGAAAGTTTAAAACTTGTGCGGGATTGTTGTAAAATATATAAAAATAAGTTTTAATCTTTCAACCATCTAATTTTCTGTTTTAACAAAATTAAAATCCCTTTAATGTTAAAGTGTAACTTGTGTATAAATTGGATTTAATCCCATGAATGCGGGGGTTAAAATTATCCCAATAAAAAGGATTGATTTTCATATAACACATGATGAATCACAACTTGGAAGATAAACACTCTATACATCTCTTTCTATGTTTCTATATTTTAGTAACTCGATGAGAGACTCGTTCACTTATCTCTCTATGGTCGTGTCTATAGAAGAAGAGTCACATGAATTTTATCTTGGAGCTATATAGTGTCGAAAGAACCCACATGAAGTAGAGGCAATACGACTTTAAGACAGAGTCTTCGACTTGACTCTCAAGACTTGCATTTTTAATTCTCTTCTTATTTTATATTATTGTTGAGTTATATTTGTATCAATTAATTGATTATGTTTATGTTAATTGATAATTATCTGCACACATACCATTCAATTTTTCCAAAAGTGAGTATTCAAATATGAAAAATACATGTACATTACGTGTTATGGAATAATTCAAACACGTTCGATTGCTGGCCTGGAAAAGATATATGTGGTGAGGGTACACATGCCTAAATACTTAACTGAGGAAATCACATCTAATTGAATTTTGTTAGTCAAATCAAGATTAGATCACCAATAACACCCTTCTTTTTTGACCAAACATTGGAAACGAAAAAATTCATGCCTTTAGGATTATTTCAGTTCCCATGTAAGTACTTTATCTATTAGGAATTTTAAAATTAAATATTTAAAATCAATTTTTTATTTCTTATTTCTTATAAAAGCAATACGCAATTCATACCAAAAGATCAAAAATACATTACAAACTGAAGAATGGGGTATACATTGAGAATAGAGTTCCATATTTAACCACTCTTCGAAGATTAGCATAGTATAAATATCGAGACGTAGAAAAAAACTATTAGTCCTCGATGCAAATAGAGACCCAGTGAACACGAATGGGTCAACATCTTGATCTATGGTACATTTTTAATTTCATGTTGATCGTATCATAAAATATATTTTTCACTATATATTTTCTAGACTAAAGAATGTATTCATTAATTTTATGATTAAGATAAGTTTTGAAGTGTTATTCCGGTGTCATATAATTTAAGATCACAATGGGAGAACAAGTCAACCAAGTATATCCACTACATGAACTACTTGGGGGAGTTGAATTGTATAAAAAAGAGCCATGCAATTGATATTGATACTAAAACATACTTAGTTACCGTTGACTTTGACAAGGTTTTTAAAATGCCTAAAACAATTTCTTGAGAATAAAAACTTGTTTTTAGATGTGTTCAATAATTTTCTGAAAATGTTTTGCTTCATCGGAAGAACTTTTAAATGAGGCCGATCCACAGTGACTGAAGTATAAGTAGAAGTTTTTTCGAACAGATCGAGTCATTGATTATTATAGCTATTTACTAGGTGTCGAAATGTGTCGGGCTACCATCAACATGAACTAACATGCCTAGGCTAATTGCAAATCAGAAGGGAATGAATTAGTCAATTCTCCTACCAAAATAATTGTCCTCTTCAATGTATTCATCAATTTTATGATTCAAAACCTTAGCATTAGTCAAAGGTTGGACATTAAATTGCGGCAAGTAATCTTAAGAAAATCTTGTTCATACAAGTAGACATCTATATATACATGCACATATAGCTGACTCTACAACCAAAATCTGTATCGATTTTTGGCTATTTCTAGAAAATGAAGAACTCAAATTTTGTCACTCTCTCTGTCTTTTGTCTCATATTTCTGTCTAGGCCATTTTTCTCTCTCTCAGCCACAGAAAGGTGCAATCCAAATGACAAAAAAGTCCTCTTACAAATCAAACAAGCCCTAAACAACCCTTATCAATTGGCCTCGTGGAATCCCAACACAGATTGTTGTGATTGGTATGTTGTTGATTGTGACCCCAATAACAACCGGATTGTTACATTCAATCTCTTCTCCGCCAACATTTCCGGCCAAATTCCGACCGCCATTGGGGACCTCCCTTATCTCGAAACTTTAGTATTCCGACAACTTACCAATGTAACTGGCCGAATTCCGGCAGCTATCGCTAAACTTACCAATCTCAAATTGCTTAGACTTAGCTATACGAACCTAACCGGACCGGTCCCTATATTCTTAACCCAACTCAAGAACTTAACCTTTCTAGACTTATCATTCAATGACCTAACCGGTTCAGTCCCGGCTGAACTTTCCCTACTCCGAAACCTCAACGCCCTTCACTTAGACCGGAACAGACTCACTGGAACCATCCCAGAATCCTTCGGAAAGTTCACCGGAAAAGTACCTGATCTCTATCTCTCCCACAACAACCTCACAGGTTCAGTCCCATTATCTTTAGGTGACTTGAACTTCACTGTGCTCGATTTTTCGCGAAATAATCTTATAGGCGACGTCTCATTCTTGTTTGGCAGAAACAATACTATCCAAATAGTAAATTTTTCAAGGAACATGTTCGAGTTCAATCTGTCGAACGTGCAGTTTCCCGACAGCTTAACATCACTGGATTTGAATCACAATATGATTAGTGGGAGTCTGCCACAGGATTTGACAAAATTGAATTTGCAGTTCTTGAATGTTAGTTATAACAGGTTATGTGGTCAGATTCCTACTGGTGGGAAATTGCAAAGCTTTGATATTAGTTCTTATCTCCACAACAAATGCCTGTGTGGAGCTCCGTTACCTGCCTGCAACTGAATGATTTCTACAACTAGGATGCTATGTAATAAAATTCTTCGTTATTGCAGTGTGAATGATAAGAATAATATTATACGAGGCCACTTGTTTGAAATCCTCAATCAACTTTTATACTCAATAAGGTAGTTAGCAGAATACGCGTTGTCATTTTTTCACAAGTTGTTGGCTATAGAATGATATGTCCGAAGAAGAAAATATTGTCCCATATTTGCAGTTGTATTCCATTATCCATTTTAGTCAACATCTTGACCTTGTGGGATCCCGACACTGATTGTTGCCATTGCTATGCGCTGGATTGTGCCAATCGCGTCAATGATCTTCCCCTCATGTCTGCTAATTCTCCTTTCAAATCCTGGAAAAAGTTGCCGAATATGTTCAACACTGTGTACCAATCATGCACTCTAAGAATATAAAAATCACACCTTATTTCATCACGTAAAACTATTACAAGCTGTTTCGGCAGATGAGGAAGCCAACAGCAGAGCAGGTTCAATTTAGAACCCTGAGCAATTATCCAAATAGCGAGGATCATTTAATTTTCATTTGCAATTTGGCAATGGTTCTCCACACAAGCATCTATTGTGAAACTACTCGGTGTATTCAAAGTTTTGCAACGTCCCACCTTGCGGAATTGGACCACAGAGTCTGTTGAAACTAACATTGAAGCCATCCAATCCCAATTGAATTAAATCTCCCGGAAGACTACCCCTGATCCTATTATGGTTCAAGTCCAAGAATCTTAAGCTGTTTGGAAACTCCACATTTGAAATATCAAACTGCAATATGTTCCTGTTCACGTCAAGAATTTGTATGGTCTTGTTCTTCCCTAACATAAATGATATGTCCCCTTCGAGTTTGTTTCTATGTAACTCAATCCAAGTGAAGTTCAAATCACCCCAACTCTTCGGAATTGTCCCTGATAACTGGTTGTGGGAGAGATAAAGATACTGAAGATTTGGTGTCAAATTCCCGAATGACTCTGGTATACTTCCACTGAGTTTTTTCTGGTCTAAACGAATCCCATTTAGTTTTTATAGTTCAGAAAGTAAGGAAGGGATTGGACCTGTAAAACTGTTGAAAGACAAATCAAGAAATGTCAAGTTTTTCTTAGCTGGCCAAGAAATGAAGGGACGGGACCAGAAATATTAGTCCAGCTTAGAGTAAGCGATTTGAGCTTAGTGAGTTTAACAATGGACGCAGGAATATTTCCTGTGAGATTAGTGATTTTATGAAAGGTTAAAGATTCAAGATAAGGGAGATCGCCAATTTCTTCCGGGATTTGGCCAGAGACATTGACTCGAAGAGGTGGAAATCGTTGATCCAATTAGTTATCCGATCACACTCCACCACATACCTGTGACAACAATCAGTATCTGGTATCCATGAGGCAAAGGCATAGGGATTGTTAAAGGATTCTTTGATTTTCAGGACTTTTTTATCATGTGGATGGCATCTTTCAGCCAGAGAGGACAATGGTATAGACAGAAAAATGATAATGTAAAGAAACTGGAAATTGAGTTGAGCCATGAAAGACAGCTGTAGATTGAAGCCATTCAAGCCATGTACAATGAACATATATAGGAGGAAGCAAATTTTGACTTTCAGTCAAACAACAAGTTGTTTAAACTAATGGCTGAAGTCTAATAGTTGAATTATGATTTTGACTAAAATGGATAATGAATGACAACTGGTATACCAATGAAATGCCTTTTAATGTTTGTTCTTTTTCAACAACTCGTATAAAAACTTAAATAGTTTATGAAATAAAACTCAAGATAATTGCTGCATGCATCCCATACATTGTATTCACGTTTGTGCAAGTATGCCCTTTGCACACAAAAATATTTAAAAGCATGCTGCTAAGTTAAGGGTAATCTTATTTCATCGCGTCAAATTATTACATGTCGCAGGTGCTATCGCAGAAAAGGAAGGTAACAGCCTCAAAATTTTACAATTCAAAACCTTGAGCAAAATTATCTCAGTAGATTACTGCAGATCATTTGCAATTTGGCAGTGGTTCTCCACACAAGCATCTATTATGGAAATATGCAGTGTATTCGAATTCTTGCAACCTCCCACCTCGTGGAATTGGACCACATAGTCTATTATAACTCACATTGAAGCCCTGTAAACTCAGTTGAGTTAATCCTTGCGGAAGACTCCCCGTGACCCTATTATGGTTCAAGTCCAAGAATGTCAAGCTGTCTGGGAACACAACATTCGAGATATCGAACTGCAACATGTTCCTGTTCAAATCAAGAATCTGAATAGTCTTGTTCTTCCCGAACATGAATGATACGTCCCCTTGGAGCCTGTTTCTATATAACTCAATCAAAGTGAAGTTCAAATCGCCCCAACTCCTCGGAATTGTCCCTGTTAACTGGTTGTGGGAGAGATAAAGATACTGAAGATTTGGTGTCAAATTCCCGAATGACTCTGGTATACTTCCGGTGAGTTTGTTCCGATCTAAACGAATCCCACCAAGGTTTCTGAGTTCTGAAAGTGAAGAAGGGATTGAACCAGAAAAATTGTTGAAGGACAAATCAAGAAATGTTAAGTTTTTAAACTGGCTAAGAAACGAAGGGATAGGACCAGAAATATTAGTCCAGCTTATAGTAAGCGACTTGAGCTTAGTGAGTTTGAGAATGGATATGGGTATATTTCCGGTGAGATTAGTGATCTTATGGAAGGTTAAAGATTCAAGATAAGGGAGATCGCCAATTTCTTCCGGGATTTGGCCAGAGACATTGACTCGAAGAGGTGGAAATCGTTGATCCAATTAGTTATCCGATCACACTCCACCACATACCTGTGACAACCATGGCCGGTCCTGAGACGAGGCGGATGAGGCCTGCGCCTCAGGCCAAAAGCTGAAGGGGGCCTCGTTTCCATGGCCTCAATTTTTTTTTTTTCTGTTAAATGAAGAAAGTAAATTGAATGAAGGAATCATTTTCCTCTCCAACTCGCCTATGGCTGCTGGGAAGTTGAAGAATATTCTGGAAATCATTCCTTGCTGGAAACATCGAGGTTGGATGGAGCCGCCATTATTGCGGAAGCTTGAACGCAAACTTGAATTCAAAAGGAAGGGAAGATGATGAGTATTATAATTGGGCCAACTTTTAATTTCCTCCATTTTCTAAAGTCCAAATGTTAACTTGTAAGCCTTTTGTGTTGGGCTTCTATTTATTTTAAATGAGGCCCATATCTTGTATTGTGAAATGGTTAAAGCAAAGTTGAAACCCTATGGCTCTTTCTCAGTTTCTCTCCCGCCACTGAAATTGAACGCCGACCTTGTGATTTTCGTTGGTAAAAATAATGAGAAATTAGCGATAGGTCTATTCAAATCAGCTATAGTTATATCATCCTCGACAATTGAAAGGAGCTTTGCTAGTGCACGAAATGAGAAATTCTACCTCAAAACACGGGAAAAAGAAGTAACAACATATAAAAATTGCACAACAGGTATGTATCGATTTTTTAATTTTTTTGTACATATTTATTGATTATTTTTGTGGCTTGCTACAACTATAATTTTAGAGCTATTTCATTTGGAATTTTTGTTTATTGGGATTAACATTTTAATATGTGAATAGCTGGCTACCTTAGAAATTGAAAACCATGATTTCGTTAATTGCCTATGGCTTTTAGTTAGGGAATGTTTCTTGGTATCCGATCAATGGGTGATATTTGATTTCGGGGCTTCTTTATCGTGAATTAGATGGCTCAAGATTGTTGATGTAAATTGTTTCATGGTCTACTGGTTATTGCAAATTTGGGAGTTGTTGTAATGTGTGGTTTGCTTGCATTAAGTGTAAGTAATTTGTATGGATAGCTCAAGTTTTTTGGTTCCATTGCAGCATTGTTATGTATGTTTACCATTGAAATGTAATTAGAAATATAAATTTCATGCCAATTGACTTCCAAAAGAAGCGGTTTAAGTGCACTTTCTTTGGATATCTAAAGTTCTAGAGAGTAATAAGGGATACTTGACAAATTATTCATTTTTCTGAATTTTTTTTTTAAACCCTCCATAAGATATTTAGTGATGCTCGAATAACTATGAGAAATTAGCGATAGGTCTGTTCAAATCTAATCAAAAATAAAAGTGGATGTTTCTTGGTCGGTTGGTTCGGTAAAGCCATTTTAGAAAGGCATAGTACTAAATTTCTATCAATTATATGTCTATCTGGGTTTCTTGTTTTTATTCTGTTAATTAATTCTGTATGTTTGTAGGAGTGGTTTTCTCTTTTCTTGAATTTTTTTTATTGTATTCAGGTTTATGAGATTTGTTAATACGTCAGAAATTCTCAAGAGATCGAACAAATTGATAGTTCAATTCAATCAGATGAACAATCAAATATGGCAACAAAGGCTAGAATACCATTTTCTTTTCAAATCTTACAACTGGGAGAATGTTTCAAGAAGTGAAGTTCCAATATTTCTAATTCTCTGTAGATGGCTCTACCGGAGGAAAGAACGATAGAAATTGAGGTATCTCAATTCCATTTTCATGATTTTTTTATAATTATTAGTTAACCATGTTTTGCAATTTATTTGTATATGTGTTTTGTTTGTGAGCTTGTCTGCTGGAGGCTTAGGACGATTTCATTTTTTTTTTTTTTTTTTTTTTTTTTTTTTTTTTTTTTTTGAGCTATACATTAAGGTTTATGTTTTGCTAAAAATATATCATGTAAAACTAATGGGGGGCCTAACTAATAGAGTTCGCCTCAGGCCCAAGAAACCACAGGACCGGCTCTGCGCATGATAATGTGGAACCACAATAGAATAATCGTTGTGAAATATGTCAACCGACGATTCACTTGCACAACCAAACAGTCCCAATGAACTATCTTTTATTCTGTGCCCGTTACTTGATACTCCAATGACTAATAATATCAATTTGCATAAAAGAAACATAATCCACAATAGACAGGAAAGACCTAGTTTTAACTTTTAATGTTGTCTAAACACGATAACTTGAATGAACAAATCAGTCGAAAAGAAAATCTCGTAGAATGTCAAGCTAGATCATCTTAGTTCAATAACAAAGATAATTAATAAGCAAAAAGGGAAATCTAAAATATCGTAAGCTTCAACACACATGGAACTCTAGATCTTTTTTATCTCCCACCAAGAATCCTCGACAGAAACTTCGCTGGGAATTTTATAGTAGTTTCTTGAACGCAGAAGAGTTCATTCGACCGTAACTAGACAATCATATTCGAGTGCAAACGGACTAAAAATAAAAAGACATAGTCTCTTGATCTTGGTCTAAAACATCAAGCCAAGAACTGCACCTCGATGTAGAAGATTGTTAGAATTGGGTTATGACTTGAATTCTTGTTGAGTATTTGATTGGAAATATTGTTGGAGTGGTATTGGGAGTTGATAGTAGACTTGAAGTCTTGAAGGAGTTCAAGAAGGATAAGGAGAATGATTCCACTTTTTGGCAATTTTTTATTCCTATTTCATCCCAAATATTTCATTATTGATCTTATCTATTGTATTGGAACTTCACTAAAACTCCATATGTATTAATTCTCCTAGTAGGTTAGGTATTATTTGGATATAAATATGTGGAGTATAACATATATTGAAATTGACCAATTTTCCAATTAGTTATTGGTCCAAATAAATCATTTATAACTCCTTACTATGGATTATAGTGAACTCTCTGCCTCTGCACGTGGTTTTTCCAAATTTGAGTTTTCACGTAAATCTTGTGTTCTTTGTGATCAATTATTTTCATATTATCCATATTTTCTCGTTCTTTAATTATTTGGCCCGATTATAACAAGTGGTATTAGAACAATGTTGATTGTTACAACTATGAAATTTGAGTTCCGATTTTGGATCACACAAGAATTCTTGTTATGGCAGATTTTTTTGTTTAGATGCTGGAGGAGAAGCAATGTAAGGATTGTTTATATATATTTTGGAAGGTTTGATTATAACTTTGGATGCAGATGTAGCTTATGATTTAATAAACGGTAAATCAAGTGGAGTTGGCTGTGATCGGATTGTTCATGGTGATTCGAACAAAAATACTAGAGAATCTTCCAGTAGTTTAGGTAAAGTTAGTTGTAATCTTATTGATCATGTTGCTCATGATGATTTGAGCAAGTTTGACAACTCACGTGGAGTTGGAAGTGCTCGTGGTGATTCGACCAATGGCGCACAAGGTAATTCTACTAGTAAGTAGGGTTTGGAATTTGTTTATAGTTGCTGAGTATGCCAAGAGGGGTATGGTGGAAGAGGTGGAGTAATTTGATAGAGTGTTATTGTTTGGAGAATTTAGCAAGAGTTGAAGAGTTAAATTTTATTCCTTGTAATGAAATTCGTGTTAAGGTGGAGATTGATAGAATTAGATTGTGACCCAAATTCTTGTTGAGTATTTGATTGAAAATACTGTTGAAATAGTATTGAGAGTTGGTAGTAAACTCGAAGAAGTCTTCAAAGAATTCGATAAGAATAAGAAGAATGATTCCCCTTTTTGGTAGTTTTTTATTCATATTTCATTTCAAATATTCCAATATTGATTTTACTCATTGCATTGGGACTTCATCTTATGTTAAACTCTTTATGCCCTTGCTTAAGCTTCATTTTTCCAAAAAAGTCATTTTTTCAGAACTCGTTTTTAACCACATTCTGCATCAATCATTATTTTAAAATGCATTCTCACTTAAAATGGAGCTCAAGCAAGGGCTATGTATTAATTCTCATAGTATGTTAAGTATTCTTTGATCATAAATATTTGGTATACTGCTATATTGAAATTGAACAATTAGTTATTAGTCCAAATAGAACCATTGTAATTCTTTACCGCCTTTGCCTATAATTTTCCCGAATTTGTATTTCCATGTAAATACTATTTGAGTATAATGAATTCTGCACCACTGCCCACGGGTTTACCGGATTTGGATTTCCATGTAAATCTTTTTTTTTTTTTGCGATTCATTATTTTTATATTGTCCATATTTTTTCGTTCTTTAATTATTTGTTCCGATTATAATGGAAGCCAGCATCATATCTAAACAAGGGTCGAAAAGTGCACAAGAAGTTTACTACAAGTACTATCCATCATTTTCAATAAAAAAACCACCCGAATTCATTTCAAATAAACTCCTAGTAGAACTGAAAGACAGAAATTGTCCAGAGCATATTAAATTAAATGACAACTTGTGCGACTTGAAATTATTACCAAGGATATGTCGCCACAGAACCTACTTTACATCAGAAATCCTAGCAAACAGACAGCAAACCCCCAAAATCTGCAAGTTCCAGGAGAGATCCTACACATCTTACCAGGGACCAAAGTTCACCGTTTGGTGTAACAAAGAAAAGAATCCATTTATCAGCAGTTTCTGAAAAACAATGGACTTAGACAGCCCAAACACAGATTGCTCACAACATGCAATCTGTTCTAGCAGGTAACCTTCTAAAGAAATTGAGGGGCACGGAAGGAAGCTTGTGACGGAACCTAGGATGTCTCAAAACATAGAATCCTGCAAGAAGAGCCAACACTTGAAAAGGCGTGACATAGAGAACAATGGCAGCGACCAAACAGAAAATTACGAACAAAGCTGTAGCTCTTGGGTCCCTCCAGCTCAGCAGAGACTGTAGCCTTTCCCCCTGCGTTGCCAAATCGCCAACCACTGTTTGGATTTTCCCTGCAATGCTTCTCAAACGGTCATACCTCATTCTCACAATATCTGGAGGACGTGTAGTAGGAAAATTATCGAACTCCTCGTCTAGTTCATCAGGATGAGCATTATCAGCGCAGGAGAGGCGAGTATCCATGTGGGGAGGTTGCCTTGGCCTCCATCTGTAGTGCCAAACTCCAATTAAGAACAAGTAGAGGAAAATAGTGGGCAAAATTAGCTCAGGATATAAAACCAGTATTAAGAACAAAATGTGAATCAGAACGGTTGTAATGGGGTTCTTCCAGTTGCATATCTGATCAAACCATTTTCCAACAGCAATTAACCCACTTAAAACTCCCATGATTCTAAAAAAGTTTGCTTTGCTTCTCCTCATACTCCACATGTGAGAACCTACATCCAGCATATACTCCACTACTTCCCTCCTCAAAGGCGGCTCAGCACGACTCAGCCTCATCGAAACAATCTGAGTAGCCTGGTGCCTCAAGCTGTCAAGCTGACTGACAGTTAATGGATGAATATAGTGCATTTTGGGCAACAGTGGTTGCGAGTACATATGCATCATATTCAACAAGGACGAGCAAGTAAATCTCACAGCCAAATGAATTTCACCCATCTTTTTTACCCCAGGAGGATGCAAAACTAGAAGGGGATATGAATGTGTATACACACGATCAGTTTCAAGGGTAGAAAGGCGAATCCTCACCTTTCCAATTCGTGAGTCCCTCCCAGATTTATCTCCACCTTGCAAATGACAATTATCAAATACACCAATGGTTATGACGGTGCATGGATCAGAAACTTCCCAAGTGTATTGTTCATTCCATTTGGGAGCAAAACTGTCGATGATGGTCCTTGTCCTGACCCACTTCTGCCCATATTTGGCAACACAGTAAGCATCAGTAGTTGCTCGCCCATCTTTTGTCTTCATCGGTGACAACCCATGAGCACTCAAAATACCCAACTCAAGGACCCCAATGCTGGGCTTCCATAGCTGTTTAGCTGTTGGTCTAAGATCACTGCTGTAGTGAGTTGATTCATCCAAAACATGGTAACCACCCTCCAAGCATATTCTCATATGAATCCTACTGGCAAACTTGAAATCCTTCTTTTTTTCACCTTCAACAATGATATGTTTCTCAAGATTACACCACCTTGTATTCACAGGTCTATGATCCAGTCTCCTTTCTACATATGCAAGAGGAATGGCACATCTTCCAAGGACTTCATCTTTGTTGGGTGCAACTCTATCTTCCACGCTCAAAATTAATGGCTCCTCAAATGGTTCTGCAACAACAAACATCAAATCCTCATTCCACATAGGATTGATACTCTTGTTCATCGACACTCGAGTCCTCAACGACTGATTTCCCAGTATGGCCCTCACAAAAACTTCTGGATATCGACCTTTATCAGTCGGTTGCAAGTCCTGAGCTTCAATCACATTGACTCTTAGATACCACAGCTTAGGTGAGAGGTAAACCTTTGACCTGATATTTGCAAGACCATCAGTGCCGCTAACTGTCGCAGCATCTGAATGCCATGCCTCAGGAAATGCTTCGTCGGCTTGAGTACCCATCCAAACTGCCAACATCAGCTCTCCTTTAACCTTATCACCCTTCCTATCCTCCAACCTATACCACTGTGGGGCCAACGGGCTATCAGGGGGAACTCTTTTAGGAATCTCATTCAAGTCAAACACAACCCGACCCATAAAATCGTCCTTCACAAAATCCTTATCTTTCACCGTAACCTCAAGCCCAGAGGCCTGAATCCGTTCCTTTGAGAAAGCAAACACCTGATTCCATTCAGGGTTGGACTTCTTCTCAAAATGACGTGTTGCTCCCTTATAGTTACCAAGCTTAACCTCAACGTAAGGGTCACAACTACCCGTCACGTCCTTCACCGGCAGATCTTTTGCCTTTACAACTCGAACATATAGATACTGCATCTGCTCAACGAGGTCATAGGTGCTCGTGAGCTTATCTCCGGTGACCTTCCCCCCACCAAGGTGGGGGTTAGTCTCCCTGAGAGAATAGTCTTCTTGTGGAGGTCTCTGCATTTCTTCACTTGTTCCTTGTTATCCACACAACACGATATCCGAACCAGGTTTTAAGAAATACGACAGAGGTTTCAAAACCCCTTAATAGATCTCAACAGAAATAACCTGGAATATTCATAGCCATTAAGAGAGTTAACGAGGCGGTGGACCAAACTAAAACAGAGAAAGATGTAAGAAAAGCAAGTTTAAAAACTTCATGTCTCTGTTAAAAACAAGCGTATAAAGAAGAATATCGTAAACCCAAAAGCTTCATACCAAAACTTAGATCTGAATGCTGAAACCCTCAAACAGAGTGTACAGCAAGTGGAGAATTAGTTCACATTACAAATACACATACATTCGTAAATTCATAAACTCTTCTGGATAAATAAAGACATACACGTATAGCCAATAACAATAATAAACATATAAAAGGAGGATTAGATCTTAGAATGTGAAAATAAAAAAAAATAAAAAATACTCACATTAATCCAAAAGACCCACAAATGTATTTAAAACCCAAAGCTCAGCAACATCAATCCATATGTATGTTTTTCATGTGCAATGACTTCACTTTAGACTAGATAGAAATACATATATAGATCCAGATAAAGCGTTGAATATACCTAGAGGGTTCATGGTAGCTGAGGCGATAAGGTTCTGACACAGATTGAAACAACTGAGGAAAAAGAAAAAGATAATGGTTTCGTTCTTGTTGCGACGAAAAAACAGTCCCAGCAGTAGATGCCTAAGTGGGTCTAGAGAGAGAAAGTCTGACCTTTTTCTTCTTTTTCCTTTAGTGTAGATAGAGAAAGTAAAAGAAAGAAGACGGTTGAGGGCTCTATGGGAGGATCTGATGAATCTGCTTTGTGAATTCTTCGGTGGATGGAGTGTGTGGGTGAAATATCAGCGTTTGTATGGGTGTATGTGTATGTCTGTCCTTGTGTCCTTTCTGCTTTAAAGATAGGTAATGTTGTCTGAGTAAATTCTAATTTATTTGACCACAGTGGCGCGCGAGCCAGAAACTACGGTCGGGACATAGCACGTGCCGTGAATTTCGGACCAAAGCTTATCTCTTTTCACTTTTGATTTTCAACAAATTAAACTAAACCCTGTTCAAGCTCATTCTCCCCGTAAGAATGAATTTTTGAATAATGTATTGATAATTAAAATGATATCAAAATGTTATTTAAAAACATATTTTTAAAAAAAATGGAGCTCAAATAGGGCCTAAGTGCTTGGTTGATAGTGATCATGAAGAATTAATTTTTTGATCGTTAGAGAGAAAAGTGAATTCCATTTGTGAGGGAAAAAATCAAAAATGACTGTGACGATAATGATCAAAAATATAATTTTTTGAGATGAAAAATCAAAACCAAACATGTACTAAATTAAATTGCATAGTCGTCTTATAAGTTATATCTGAGAAAATTTGGTTGGAATTAGTTGTAAAGTGCAGAAATTTTACTTGGCACTTGGCAGCATTTGATGAGTTACCTTAAATAAATATTTTAAATAAACACATTAAGTCCCCGTTTGTTCCCCATTAATTTTCATTATATTATATTACATTTTTCTCTTTCATATTTTCAATCACACAATCTTCCATAAAATAATATTACACTAAAATAGAAAAATTTTCTTTCTTTTTCAACCACTCATTTTTTAAAAAATATATATTATTTTAGCCATTTTCATTTCAAAAAATGGGGGTCAAACAGGGACTAAATAAATACAGTATCAAAATTCAATTTAAATCTTTCATGGAAGTCTTGAATTCAAATTTTGAGAAAGGCAAACAGAATTCTTGAAAAGGAACATGGACGGACTCTCTCAAAACGGACCATATATACACCTCATTTGAGCCCCATTATTTCTCATTATATTAAATTAAATTTTTCTCTCTCATACTTTTAACCACACAATTTTTAATAAAATAATATTACATATAAATCAAAAAATTTTCAACCACTCATTTTTCAAAAAAAACATTATTCATCTCATTATAATGTCAAATAATTGGGCTCAAACACACCCATAATGTGTTATCACCTGGAACACCAAAACAGTATCATTACAAGAAGATCATAGTTAAAATCGAGTCGCGTATGCTGTCTGGGTCTCAGACTTATTGGTGAAAAAATAAAGTTTTCCAATTTACATATTTTTAATTTAATGTGCTAAATTCTTCTTTTTAGTAATTTTAATTTTTAAATAAAATAATCGACGAGTCGAAAGTTAAAAAATAAATTGATTGATACGTAAAGGGACGTGTGATTTTATTTTTGTTATGCTTTCAACATGTGGTGTCATGTTCGATGACAGCACTGACTGTTGACTGATTTCATATTCCTGTTTGATTAAGAAATTCTCTCTTTTCCTTTTTCTTTATTTGTTTAAGAGAAACTTGTTACTTTAACACTACTTGTTAGACAAAACAATCTTGTGCCTGCCTGTGGGGACCAGTTGTTGACCTGCTTTCAACTCAGAAAATTATAATTACTTAATTAATTATGTTTTACTTAATACTGAAAACTTACTTAAGGCGTAGTATATGTAAAGATTCCATCTTAAGATACTAATTTGATTTTTTCTACAAACTCGTCACAACAAAAGAAACGGTCCCTATCACCTTTAAAGATTAAAGAGGATTTCTTCGACACTTTTCTTCAAATTAAGAAGAACTGTATTTTACACTAAATCCTGACCTTTCTACTACCTCGGAGCCACTTTTTTACATGGACACAACGGCTTAAGAGCTAATCGCAATTACTTTCGACCATGGTAATCCATCTATAGACCCTCTACTTTTGTAACTACAAAAAAAAAAGAAAAAAAGGTTGAACCCCAACCTTGAGAGTCCTCATCGCTCCGTCCCTAAAATTTTGTGAGGGAGGTAAATCGCGAAATGTGCCCCAACAGGTCAGGAAACAAGAGCTGTTTGTATACTGCGTTTATAAGGAGTCCAATTCCATATTTTAGGAATCGAACCCCAACACTGCGACTGCCAGCAAGGTGTGAGATAACCTCACTCCTGTCCTTTGTACCACAAGGTTATGCCCCGAGAGGCTAAAAAAAATTTGATTAAAATTATAGTAAAAGTCAATAATTAATTTTAATTACACATTTCATGTGATCCCAATTTTTTTACTCCACGTTTCATTAAACTTTTGAATCACGCGGGTCCCACTGCATGTGAGAGGGTGGACACTCTTAAGTATAAGAAATTATGTACTGCTAGTGCCCCCAGGGCATATCTCCCAGTGGCAAAGGGGAGGGCTGATAGGGCTCAGTGCAACAGTGTGCAGAGTTCGATTCCCCGCAAGGTGGAATTGGCTTTGTTGCAAGCGGGAGTTACCATATGGGTTAACAGCCTTGGCCTATCCATGTGCTCTCCGCCCTGGTTCCTGGGAGGCACATCCTGTGATTTACCTCCTCCACGATGGCCCAGGGCAGGACGGTGGAGGCCCTTAAGGTTGGGGTTCAACCTTTAATTATGTACCGCTAGCAAGATTGTTAACTTTTATCAACATCTATTAAAAATTTTATTTTTAATTTATATCAAACATGGGCTAAATTTACCTATACGACTGCATATAGTATTAGTTCAATAATATTTAATTTACCTAAATGTGGGTCCCACGTGTGACCATAGTGTTAATAGTTAATTCCTTGCTACAAGGGAAAGGAAATTTCTTCGGTGGGGAGAGGCTATTACAGGTCTCAAAATACTCTCATATGCTCTTGCTTTTTCTTGGAGGGACCCCTCCCAACTCACTTTTGCTCAAGTAACAAGGTATCCAAAGCAAACAATTCATGTAGATAACGACGTCGTAGTCAAGACGGTAACCGATACCCCCATCAAAGTCGTTTTCACCGTCAATTTAAATTAAAATATTTAGAAAGTTCAGCCTATACACTAGTTTCTTTTTTCTTCAATTAAGACACAACGGAATATAGAATTCACACAATTTGTAGTCACTTAAAAATAGTGGCGAACACAGATATTTGAAGTTAGTGGAATACAATTAAATTTATAAAAATGTTATTAAAAAATTTAATATATTCAGTATCTTATTACAGTTGTTTTCTACATGCATAATTATATCATTTTTAATACTTTGAACGTAGACTAATATTTAAAGTACTTTTCTATACATGGTACAAACAATCAATTTATCAATAATCATAGATTTACCAATGAAAATAATCAATTCAATTGCTATTTGGTAACGGAAGGATTCTCTTCTTTTTTCGCATTTTGGAGTCTATTAAAAAAAATGACAGAAAGAAAACTCTAAAGTTGGTGGGTCACCTTACCCACTAGGACCCAATGTGGGTCAGCTGATACACTAGTTTCTTTTTTCTTCACTTAAGACACAAAAGAATATAGAATGCACACAATTTGTAGTCACTTAAAAACGATACCTCATAACAAAAAATTGAAAGCTTATCAAATTTCAAGCATTTCAGTCACTAATATTGAAATATATAAACTACAATTATCCATCCAAGAGTGGAACACAATTTTTTTTTTTTAAACTTTTGAAGTCGGGATAGTTGATTGAACATGCTTATATCAAAGACAGGACATCTTTGTAAGAACAATACTCCTTGCCAGTATCGATCAATAACTGCAAAAGTGATTGCAAGTGCAGCTCCTGTAGAGATCATTGTTGAAGAATAAAGCTCCTTGAACAATCCCCTAGATAACCAGGGGATTGGGGCACTCCCGCGGGGATTGTTTGAGGGGCACGGCCCGTTGTTGAAATGATCCTTCCCATGAAGATTATAAAGGCATCAGCCACGTAATAAAAAATGAGTGTACGAAGTGTTGGAAAGGAAAGGATTGAGCAGCATGGTCAATAGTATAATAGACAAGATTTTTTATTATTTTTGGTCTTAATGTTGTATAGTAATATACAATATGTCTCGTCAAACAAGCTACTAAAACGCTCTTTTGCTTAACCACTACACGAAAAGGTAAAACGTCTACCTAAAACTTAGACCTGATTTCTAAGCCAAAATGAGAAAGAAAACCGAAAAATAAATAATAGCCTGTTTAGGAGGGATTTTTTACTTTAAAAAATTGATTTTTTTACCGTTATTTCACTATTTCAGCCATAATTTTTGACTTCTTTTCTCACAGGTGGACCCCACTTTTCTTCTAACGGTCAAAAAATCAATTCTTAAAATCTCTCTCAAACACAACCTAAATAAATAAGATAATTAATGTATCAGGAAGATAGTGACAGGTAACTAATAGCCTAATACTAAAAAATTAGATGAAATGTTCATCCGATGATTTGTTCAATAATTAAGTCCACATAGTTGTTATAGGCTTATAGCTAATGTCAAAATGTCGATTTCACGATGTAAAATTTTTGAGCATAAGCATATCTGCTTTTGACATGTTATAGACTGCGACACGTTCAACAAGGCCATATAGACAAATACACTAATAGAACTGATTGTAACGAATGCTAAGTGCGAGTTTGGTATTGAGTATTGGACGAAATTTGATAGTATATGAACAAAATTATAGCTTCTTTTCTTTCTTAGTAGTGTTTAGTGCTATCCAATTTTCCCTATGAAACATGCTAAAAAACGAAAATATCAAATGAGTGTACCATTGCCTTAGTTATCAGCTCCAAAACAGTGAGAATTTGAATAGAATATAAGAATTAGTGTTCTAAAAAGCGTCAAACGTGGCTAGATTTGGAGTCGAAGCTTCGAGTTTTACAAGTTTAAACGAGCCTAGGCGAGATTTAGACGTAAAAAAGTATTTTCTTATTTATAATATTATTTTAAGTTTTTTATCATTTTAAAAATTATTTAATAATTAAAGTAATACATATTAAACATCTAAAATTATAAATACTTAATAACTCCCATCATTAGTCAATTATACAATTTTCAAGT